ATAACCCTACCTCTCTCCCACTTAACCCTATCATTCTTCTCTCATGCCTCCTTTGTTTCAGCTGCCTCCCTTCTTTTTTATATAAAAAAATAAAATAAAAAAAAACTTCTCTCTCTCTCTCTCTCTCTCTCTCAACTTTCTTCTTCTTCATGGCTCCTTATTTCTTTCTTTCTTCTCTATGTCTCTGTCTTTCTTGACAGAGTTTGAAATGAAAAGTAAGAGTGAAGGAACACAAGAAGCGTGCGCTTCTTCTTCTTTCTCTTAGGCAAACCAGTGAGCAGTTGGAGCGCATTCCGTGTGGTCATTCAACCAGCTTAGGTGGACCTCCAAGCCTATTTTCTTGGCTTCCGTGGGGTCGTTCGACCCTGGTGACGCCACTGTGGGTTTGTCATTGGTAGTAGAGATTGTTGTGAAGTGGGAAATGGGCGAGAGGGAATCAAGGAAAGATGAGATGCTGTTAGTTTAGAAAAAGAAAGGATAATAAAAATTAAATTTTATACTAATTGACATGTTATGTTCAAGCCGTTAGATTATTCTAACAGTTGAGATGAGGTGAAATGCGGATAAATGTGTGGAGTCTAAATGCAAAGACTCAAAATCTTGGAAGATGATCTATTGTTCAAATCTTTCCTACAATTAACATCCTCTACTCATACAACGACATGTGGATCATGGGGACTCACCCAAGTACCCAAGGCCTTGAACAATCGGTATCGGCTACCGATGGCATTGTCTCAAAGCTACCAACAGCTGCTACAGGCCCATCCCGTCTACAATCGGTGCCCCCTACCGATTCTGCACAATCAACCTCGAAGCACCCGCCCGAAATATCTAAGGACTCGTGTCAACCTCACAGGGCCCTCCCACGAGTCCCACATCGAAAGAAAGTACTAAGAGCATACAAAATGCCCTCTATAAATACACCCCTTCACCACAGTACAGGGGTAAGACTTTTCAGCTTGACTTATATACTGATATATTGTCAATAGCAAGAGCTCTTAGAAACCAAACTTACTTCGGCATTGGAGGGTCTTAGGCTGGTTCCACACCGGTTCCATAGACCTTACGAGTCTCGACTTCTTTCTATTCAGGATCAGCATCCAAGGACAGGAAGAATCGGCATCCAACACTCAATCGATCTCTCGATCGTCCATCTCGCTTGTAAGTTGCACTCATCTCTATCTGTTCAGTTTTAGTGCCAACATAACTAGACTTATAATTAATAGCTTTACAATTGGAACTGTTGGCATCAATCATGTAATTGATTTATATTAAGAATTGTAATCTCGTATAATTATAGGATTCCCGTCTTAGATGAGATTGTAATTACTTTCAATACCCCCTAGAGAGAAGAATAAACTACTCTGAATTATTCTACCATAATACGCATATCTTAAGTTGGTATCAGAGCTGCAATCCTAGGATTATGGCAGCTCTCTCACAACCCAATGACCGCCACAGCGCTGTTGCCATATTGCAGCTCCACCGACCCCAACACATCTCCATAGCATTGCAGCCATAATGCAGCGCCGACCTTAACAACCACCACTCCAGCACTACGCCGATCCCAATAGCCCTTGCTGATCCCAACAATGTTGCGTCAATTCTGACATTTCCTCTTACTGCTAGCTTTTTGCATTCTTATTTTTCTCCTATATCTCTCTCTCTCTCTTACCTACAGTTATCATGGGTGATGAATTTGTGGTTAGTGTTGCCTCCCGAAATACGGCAACACCATCTCTATTGACTTCACCAATCAATCTTCCATCTGAACCTACTGCCATACCTGTTGGTGTCATGCTTAATGGCATCAACTACTCCCTGTGGTCTCAGCTTATGGAGGCGTTTGTTGCTAGTCGTGGCAAATGTGGCTATCTGACAAGGAATACTAAACAACCCGCTCGTGGAGACCCCAGTTATGACAAGTGGGTGGTGGATAATGCTATTGTTAAAGGATGGTTGATTTCTGCCATGGAACCTGATGTGATGAATTTATTTATCTGTTTGCCTACTACTAAGGGTATTTGGGATGCAGTCCTGAAGCCTTATTTTGATAGTGTCAATAGATCTCATGTGTATGACTTGTCTTGAAGGGCCATGCAGATGAGACAAGCCAGACGAGTGCTTGTTGCCTATTATGCTGATCTGAGTGCTCTCTGGCAAGAGTTGGATTATAGGAAGCCTATTCCTTTTACCCAAGAAGATGTGATTCTAGCCAGACAACAGGTGATTGCAGAGGAGCGTGTCTACATGTTTTTGCCCGGGCTTGATGATATCTATGATAGCATTCGCAGTGAAATCCTTCAGACCGAGCCATTCCCCAATCCTGAATCCGCTTTGGCAACTGTTCGCCCTGAGGAGCAACTCAGACACATTATGCTTAGTCTAGGCTCTAATGCCAGCATGGCTATGGCGACATTTACTACTAGGTCGTCTGATTTAATTAGAATAGGACACCCCCAAAGCCAAGCTTTGTCACTCGACCTCCTACCGACGGTGGTTGCACTTACTGTCATAGTTTTAAACTTGTTGTGAAACAGTGTTTTAAGAAGTATGGCTATCATGACTGGTGGGAAGCTTTTTAAGAGAAGAAAACACGTGATGGTGAGGCTTGGGAGCGCAGTGCAAAGAAGGATGGCAAGGCCGCCATGGTGATTGGGTATGTCGCCCCACCGCCGCCGGTTGCTGATATGAGTGGTGCCTTACCCATGCCGTCCTCAACCCTTATCTTTCCTCAATTTTTTTTTTTTGACATTCCCTCTAATCCCTAAAATTTCAACCAACAAAAAAAAACCTTAAATTTTCAACCAATAAAAAATCCCTCAAATTTCGTCCCAATAAAATATAATAGGTAAATTATTATCAATAGAATATAATGTACCTACAAATTTACCTATATATCTTGTATATATCCAATACGGGTAGGTAAATTATTTTCACAATATACCTATGAATGTATTGGCTTTAATATACCTACAATATACCCATAATAGGTAAATTACAAGTTATATTATTGCATAATAGGAAATTATTAGGTAAATTATATCCGAAATGCATCTATAATAGTTGGGTATATTATTTGAATAATAAGTAAGTTACCTACTAGGTACATTATTTTTCGTAGAATACGTAATAGGTACGTTATTTATCGTAAAAAAAGTCATAGGTACCTTTTTTTCTTCAACATAAAATTATATGTACACTATTATATTTATAAAACAATAATATAATAGATAATTAATCACATATACTTCATAAATAAATAAATTTTTTTATTAAATAAACCGATTAAGTATGTTAAATATGAATTTATTATTAAATCTAAAAACGTTTCCAAATTAATTCCTACATCAATTTGGAGATCTTTCCAAATTCAACTTGTGTCATTAGTTACAATCCAATTAAAAATTGGTTCTATATGGGTTCTTATATTAATAAAAAAAAAAATACAATAATGGCTTAGTTGGGAGTATTTTAGGAATAAAAAAGTACAATAAAATTCGATTTTGTGCTTGATTAAATAATTTACCGAGTTAAATCCTAGTCATCGAGTTTTATTTAGAAAAAAAACAGGAATTTATTCAAACAAAAATAAAGAGGCAGATTTTAGTTGAGAAAAAATTACGTTGAAGGGGTTAAGCTAAATTTATTATATAAAGTAAATTACAGCATAGATATTATGGTAATAACAAAACATTTATAAACTTATATTTATCACGAAAAAAGTTTGGTGAAAACATCTTTTCCTATCCACACACATGTTTTCTTCCTTACCAACACTTGTCATATTCTCATCACTTAGTGTGGTCAAGATGTAACAATTCATAAGATTTTGTTTTTTCTTTTGTCCATAACAATATATTTATTAAACTCCAAAGTATATTAAGATAAGAAAAGAAAACAGAGGAACATGTTGTTTCTTTTCACAACAAAATAAATACATTTTCTGTTAATTAAACATATTTTTTATTATCTTAAAAAAAAATCATCCAATTTAACCTTTTTTGTTAAAAAAGAGGATGAGATGTTTGTCGGGTGCAATGCACAGAGAAGGAAAACAAAAAGAACACAGCTTTTTGCATGCATCTGACACAGTGTACCCTCGCTCTATTCGAAACGTCACTTTGTCCAATGGGCCCCACAAGTCCTCTCGCAACTAACCATCACGTGTATGGCTGTCCCGCAACTAACCATCATGTCATGATCAATCCACGTGTACGGCCATTACGTGAGAACAAAGCTTCCGTTCCAATTCATCTCAGATCCGAGCGTCCGTGGCCCCACACGTCTTGCGCGGGACCCCAGGCCTGGGAGAGGAACAACTCATGTGGTTGCTGCCCCACCCTACACGAGAGGGCGTCGCTTTCTGATTTGGTCTCGCGTTTTACACAAAGTTATTTGATTGGCTGTCGCGACGTCTGGGTCAACTTTATTTTTCGAAACTCGTTTATGGGACCTGCAATTCTGTGCCCTGAAGAACGCGACAGACATACCCACACGGGTGCAAAACTTTTTTTTTTTTTTTTCGTCGAAATTGGGGGAGATAGGTGGGGGGTTGATGATCTGGTGCAACGGTAGGGAAAAGGAATCTTCGAGTTCCGAGGCTGTTGTTCCTTCCTGCCTTTTCTAGAAGAAAGAGGGACGACTTTTGATTAATCCTGGTCTAAATTCTGAAACAGAAAGCGAGGTTAATTCAATAAAAACGACAACGGCTTAGGCCAATTGGCTGGACTCTATCCAAGTCTACCAGTTTCTTGGGAGGAAATTGCGGGTGCAACATTTAGGGACATTTTCTTTATGGGACTAATGGTGATGATAATTAAATCGAATTGCATAGTATAGTACTTTAAATCGAATTACAACATGAGTTTGAAATTTTATTTTATTTTATTGTTGAACAAAAGTAAATTTCATTAACCGGAAGCATTGGTTACAATAAGGTCATCAAGAATACAATTCATTAGCCACACAGGGCCTTCTTCTAACAAATAATAAGGACCTTATTCGTGTAAAGCAAAATAGGCAATAGCATGAGCCACTTTATTACACTCCCTAAGTCGAAATTGGACTTCCTTTAAAGAAAATTGCACGAACAAGTCTCTTACATCATCCACAATGTTACCGACAGTAGCCCAAATAGTCTCCCATGAATTAATCATCATAACAGCCTCAGAAGAGTCGGTTTCAATGAAGAGAGGGAAAAAACCAGCAACTGTAGCAAATAAAACTCCTCTATAGATCGCTTGCAATTCTGTAGCTAGAATGGAAACCCCGTGAGGGCTTTGCATGGCTAGGGAACCCATAAAAACTCCATACTCATTACGAACAATTGCACCAATACTATGCAAGCCTATTGCATTGTCAGTAGCTCCATTAACATTGAGCTTATAGAAACCTTCAGGGGGGACAACTCCAAATCTTATTCTGATTAAACCCACAACCACGTGATTGGTTTTGAGATTTATGAAATTCTTCAAAGAGCTCAAAACTCCTCTCAAGAAGATGGGTGGGATTATGTACACCTTGACCATGAAGATTATCATTTCTAGCTTTCCACAACATCTAACAAATGCAAGCAAATTGCTCCAACTCAATAAAAGACAAAACTGTTTTAGCTTTCTTAAAGAAATCAATGAAGCTCAACATATGCCACTGCTCAACAGCAAATCCCAACATAGAAGGCCTCCATACTTTCTTGCTTAGTTTGCACTCCCATAAAGTATGGATAAGAGATTCATTGGACTTGCTACAACAGAAACAAATACCTTTTGGGATTACTTTCCTACTCACCAAATTGACGCAAGTGGGGAGGATATCATGAGAGGCACGCCACAAGAAATGCTTAATTTTATTTGGAACGTGGAGGCTCCAAATCAATTTCCAATACAACGCCGTTTGAGCGCCGTTGGAACCACCCACACCACTATTAAGATTACTGGTTTTCTTCTGCACAACAACTTGATAACCAGATCAAACATAATATTTTCCATTTTTAGTAAAGAACCAAATCTGCTGATCTATACGTGGATTGCAACTCAAAGGGATGCTTTGAATTAACTCCACCTCCTCTGGAAAACAAACACGACAATAAAAGACTTAACATTCCAAGCAGAAGAAGAGGAAATAAAATCACAAACCTTAGAATTCGCTAGCAGAGAAGGAGGTGAATATAGTTTAAAAGTAGACGGTCTGGGTATCCATTTATCATTGTAAACATTAATCATCTTAACATCACCCACACGCCAATAAAGGCCTGCATCTAATAAATCTCTTCCCCACAAAATAGAACTCCAAACAAAAGAAGGAGCTAAACCAAGAATAACATGCATGAAATCTGAGTTAGGGAAGTAACGCGCCTTAAGCATATGAAAAACAATGGAATCTTGGGTTTGGAGCAGCCGCCAAGCCTATTAACAAACCATAGCTTGATTGAAGCATTCAAAATCCTTGAAACCAAGGCCACCATCCACCTTGTGCCTACAGATGCTTTGCCATTTTTTTTTCCAATAGATCCGTTTTTTATTTCCTTTACTCCACCAATATTTTGCAACAAAAGAATTAAGATCTTTCCAAACACCGACAGGAAAACGAAAAACACTCATGGAATAAGTTGGAACAGCTTGAGCAACAACCTTAATAAGAATTTCCTTGTCCACAGTAGAAAGCAATTTTCCTTGCCAAGATTGAAGACACTTCCAAACCTTATCCCTTATACCACGAAACAACGCCCTCCTACTCCTTCCAGCTATGGTAGGGAGTCCCAAATAACGCTCATGACAAATCACTGCAGGAACTCCAAGTAGAGATGAGATAGCTTGCTAGTCAATGACATCTACAGAAGGGCTAAATGAGATTGCAGATTTAGCAAAATTAATTTTTTGCCTTGAGGACTTCTCATATACGTCAAAAATGTGTTTCAGATTCTGACATTCAGACATATTAGCATCACAAAATAATTAACTATCGTCAGCAAAAAGCAAATGAGTTATAGAAGGTGCTCCCCTAGCTATAGCCACTCCATGAATCGAACTCATCAATTGTGCCCTCCTTATGAGTGCTTAGAAACCTTCGACACAAATAAGAAACAAATATGGCGAGAGCGGATCACCTTGGCGAAGACCACATTGAGGAACAATATGACCAAATGGGGAACCATTGCATAAAACCTAGTAGGATACTGACGAAATACAATCCAAAATCATAGAGACCCAACTAGCATGAAAACCCATTCTAGCCATCATAATAGCAAGATAATTCCATTCAACTCGGTCATAAGCTTTTGACATATCTAATTTTAAAGCAATCTTCTTCCTTCCCCTTCGCCCTCTTCTCTTAATGGTAGGGCTGGGCACGGTACGAGACGACACGGGATGGAGGTTATCCGTGCCCAGCCAATGAAATCTGAGTTTGGTGTTACATAGTGTAGAGAATGAAAGAAAATGTTGATAGATTTTGGGCATGATATGGAGATTTTATTTGGGAATTATTACTAAGCATAAAATGTTGTAGTTCTAGCTGAGTAAAATCAGTGTTAAATATGGAAAGTTGTGTTGATGATTAAAGAGTAAATGAGTTGTGTGAAATAATTAGGCTATGAAGAGGAAGTCTGATTAATACTTGTGGAGATGTATTTGTGTAAACAGATGATTTTATGATTGTAAGAATAGTATTGGAAAGAAGTGTATAAATTGGAGGATGCCTGTAATGAAATCATTAAGATAACTTGGATGCCATGGAGAAAAGTTTGTAAGTTTTGGTGATTGGTTACTTAGGAATATGATTTCAAATTTGGTTGATTAAGTGACTTGAGTTTTTAGTTCGGTGTGGGTGGTATTGTTATGATTCTTCATAAAGGATTGAAATTATTTTAGATTTGGAGATGATCCATAAACAAAGATGCATGTGGAAAAGAAAATTCTTGGAGTTAATAATGCTAAGTTGAAATTTCTTGTAGATACTTAAGAAAGAAATATTGATATTGATGACATTATGATTGGAAGATTCTAGTTTATTAAAGTTACGAAATGGATCTTATATATATATAGGAAAGGATTATAAGCTTTGTGGTAAAAGGAATGCCTACAAATTTCTTTTAAGAGACTACAAAATGGGATTACAAGGTAACTTTGGAGGAACTGCGCATGATTTTTAGAGATACGGAAACAACTTAATGTGGGCATTGTAATCAAATCATTTTGAAAACATTGGTGATCACTTATAAGATATTTTGTATCAAAGTTGAAAGTTTAGCTCTTGAGGTATAAGAACATGTTAATGGTATTTATAAATTAAATAGGCTTTGAAATATGTATGATGATCCTAGTGATGAATATTGGACATACAAATATGCATGAATGTAATTAGTTCTTCCGGTTAGGTTGGGCATGACTAAGTCCTTGCAGTTTAAGGTTCTTGAAGATCAATAGGTGCTAGGAATGGATTTGAAACTTGCCGAGGATTATAGTGTACATTCTTGTTTCTTAAGATAAAGAGTATGTTATATCCAAAATATAAGTTGTACGTTAAGTGATCGGATTAAAAAGATAATGTGATCGGATTCAGGATATAGATGGAGGATTTGGGGGATATAATGATTCAGAGGAAAATAATGCTTGTGGAATTGGGAGTTTGAAATGAGAACCAGACAACTCAATTCGTACGAGGGGTGTTGTACTTAAATTTGAGGATGAATTTTCTTTTAAGGAGGGTAGGATGTAATACCCCGAAAAATTCAAGGTGGATTTTCATATTTTAGTGAAAAATAATATAATTGTGGAGATTGATTATGGATATTTTTATCAAGAGATTTTGGATTGATATTATTAAATCAAGTATGTTTAATTTGAAGTTGGACAAAAATGACCAAAGCACCCCTATGTGTGATAGATTACCAAAATACACTTGTAGGCAAAGAAAAGAAAAGAAGAGAAAGCAATGTGTAAGCCAAAGCTTTCTTCCCTCCTTCATTCTTTCCCCCTTGCCTCAAGCTTTCCTATCCACCATTTATGAAGGGATGAGTCACCTAGTCTAACTTGATGACTCACCTAGCCTAATTAAGCTCTTCCTCCCCATTCATTGTATCAACACTCTCTTCTAACTTGATAACTCACCTATCCTAAGGATTTTCAATCATAAATTCACTCTTATCCTCATCATTCATTGTATCATCCTTTCTTCCTCATTCACTTATCTTCATCCTCATTTTTCTTTTGTTCCTCTTCAAAAATCCAAAATTCGTCACTTCCTTGGAGCAGCCGAGAACTCAAATTTTGGAAGCTCAAATGAGAAAACTTTCTTCATAAAAGTTGTTCATTTATGTGATTCCTATAACATACTCAAATTTCAGCTCAATCCGATTAGGATAGGCTCTGAAACGTTGGTATGATCACAATAAGTTTACCATTTCCTGATTTCACAGCAGTATGCTCGGTTTCAGTTTGTTTCTGTGATT